TTATTATTACTGAAATATAATAATTAAAATTATTTAGTAAAATATTAAAATTACGGTAGTAAAATATTTATTATATTATTAATACAGATAATTTTATAGATACTATAAATAAACTATATATTAATATGATATGTAAATTTAAATATAGTATATAAAATTATATAAAAAAAGATCTATATTTTTAAATTTATATATATATAGTATAGGAAACAGTTCTATAAAAAAAAGAAAAATTAAAAAAAATTAGAAAAGTACATCCCCGACGTACTAGGGTATAGTCTACTCAAACCCTAATCTAAAGACTACTCTAGCGTTGGTACTGCACATATCCTACCCACTGTGCGACTACCATGACTAAAAACATGAACGCCATTCCGGTTTTAATTATATCAAGTTGGAAGTGATAGTAACTGGCCCAGTTTGTCACCCGAGCCCACCATATAGACTCGCCCTTGTCCCTCATTGCCGAGTGAAGACCGGGCAGTCCATCAAGGCTCCTACTGTTGTATTGCATCTGGTACCCAGGCAGCTCCCCTCGATTAACCGTGTATTCAGCAAACTTGACCAGCCTTGGGCGGTTTGTGAAACAAGGCCTCGGTTGATTTGTTTCTGGATCGACAGTGAGGTCGAGCAGCGGGACTCCAAAGCCACAGGATAGTTGAACCTGCGAGAGGGTCAGTCCTTGTAGATTAGTGATAATCAACAATAACAATAAAAACAAAACCAACCTTGAAGATATCTAAAATAATAACTGCCCTTGCTCCGACTAGAGACTTCACGCCCATTCGCTTGACGTATCCAGTATACCTCGGATCATTCCATTCAATGACCGAGCCCGTGCAGAAAAGTCGCATGATTCGCGGGGTAGCATCGAATGAGCAGAACATTACGGTTGCCCGTCCATTCTCGCGAAGGTGGCAGATAGTCTCACATCCGGATCCGGTTGAGTCGACATATGCTACTTTGTTGGGGCTCAGGACGGCAAAGGATGAGTCGGGGAGGCCTTTAGGGGATACATTAATATGACGACCTCGGCAGGGGGCAGATGAGATGAAAAAGAGAGGTTGGCGGAGGGCCCAGTCACGGAGGTTGTCGGAGAGGGATTCGTAGAAAATGCCCATTGCTCTTTAGTGTTTTTTTTCTTTTTTTTTAATTCTTTTGTTTTGGTGTATACGGCTCCAAGGGATAACAGTCAATTTTGCTATGTTGCGGTAGAGGACTGAGACTTTCCACGTGACAATCAAGGGATGCAACGAAGCGCCTATTTTCTTTGAACGAGGCGCCACGAGGCTTTGCGGAATGTCGGAGATTGTAAACACCCTCACAAGTGTGAGCTGTATAATCTAGAACTTGATAATTATGCAGTGGTTACATATCGCGAATCGCGAAGCGCCATCTAAGCGCGATTGATAATGGTCCCAAAAATCGAGATATAGGAACAACTACTCCAACCGTCATGTATTGCAACCGCAGGGATAGAAGCGCAATGCAATGACCGTTTCTCAAGTTCGCCGAGTGGCCGTGATCGGCGCTGGAATAAGCGGAGTTGTTTCAACAGCCCATCTTGTGGCTGCTGGATTCGAAGTAACCGTGTTCGAAAGAAACCAGCAAACAGGGGGGATTTGGTATGTATACAGTGTGCCAGAATGACATACTCTCGATTGACCTCGATAGGCTGTACGATGAACAGACACCATTGGAATGTTCTTTTCCTTCTCCTGATCCTTCTTTAGCAGATAGGGTAGAGAAAAACGCCAGATTCGATAGAGAGAAGCTTCGACTACAGCATGCTCCTCCGGGGTAAGTGTTCCCTCTTGACTTTGGAAATGCATTGATGGCGTGAAAAGGAAGGAAGAAAGAAAGAGACAAGAAAAATAAAGTAAAACGACTGAGAGCGAGCTAATGAGGGTGTGAATAGACCATGCTACAAAAATCTCACAACAAATGTATCCACCCCTCTCATGCGAATAAAACTTCGCGCCTGGCCAGAAAACACACCAGACTTTGTTCACCACAGTGTCGTGAACGAATATATCAGGGATATAGCACTGAGTACTGGAGTGGACGAGCGAACAATATACGGCGCTCGAGTGGAGCATGTCTATAAAAATGGTGGGAGGTGGCATGTCAATTGGTCAGTACTGGACGAGAATGGCGGTATTGACGGTCTAGAAGAGAGGCTGCTGATTTCTGTAAGCCAATACCGTGCAAATTGGTTGTAAGCGCTCTGATTAGAGGTTTAATTCTTCTTTTAGACCTTTGACGCGGTTGTAGTCGCGTCTGGACATTATCATTCACCTCACATTCCGGACATATCTGGGTTATCCGAAGCAAAGAAAAGATGGCCTTCACGGATCATACATTCCAAGCGATATAGAACGCCGGAAGTCTACAGGGACGAGGTAAGTGTTTGATATTCCGTGACGCATTATATTGATTGCTATGAAATATGCTCACAGATCATTCAGAATGTTTTGATGATTGGCGGAGGGGTATCATCGATGGATATCTCGCGGGACCTTGGACCATTTGCCAAAATGATATTCCAGAGCACACGAAATGGCGACGCAGATCCACCTGCTCTCATGCTTCCAGATAATGCAGTAAGAATTGGCGAGATTGATCATCTCGAACTGCTATCTGGGACTGGTGACACGCTACCAGAGGGTGATCCCTTGCCATTAATAGCCTGTCTGAAGTCATCTCAACGAGTATGTAAAATTCACAAGATCATCGTTTGCACAGGGTATCAAATTGTATTCCCGTTCCTTCCAGACTATCACAACGATTCAATGCCGCTTCAGGATGCTGATGATACTATTCTTGTTACCAACGGGACACAAGTCCATAACATCCATCGAGACATCTTTTATATCCCAGATCCGACTCTTGCTTTTGTCGGGATACCTTACTTCAATACAACATTTACCCTCTTTGAATTCCAAGCTATTGCAGTGACAGCCGTCTGGTCCCGAACTGCATGTCTGCCATCAACAACTGAGATGAGAAGGGAGTACCTGGTAAAGCAAAAGCAGACCGGTGGCGGGCGCAAATTCCACTCGTTGAAAGATAAAGAAAAGGAATACGTCCGCGACCTTATGGCGTGGATAAACGATGGAAGAAACGCACAAGGGCTTGTTCCTATTGAAGGTCATACGGCAGCTTGGTTTGAAGCTATGAATAAACTGTGGGACGAGGCGAGAGCGGCGATGAAAGAAAGAAAGGAGCAACAAGAAAAGATTATCAGACGTATTCCATTTTCGGCTGATTGTACTTCGGTCGAACTGCCACATCTTAATTAGGGCACATATCTCGAATAGTCCATGGTATTATGTAATTAGAGGTGCTATTCTATTAACCAGTAAAAGGAGCAGCGCAACGCAACCTTCTAGGCGCGGTTGTACCGTTTGGTTTTGATTTAAAAAGAACACCTTGCCGGGCAAGTCAAGAGATAATCATATTCCCTCCACTCGACAAAGGTCAACACACACGGAAGCCCCGAGCAGGAATGTCACCGTTCATCTATGCTGTCACATTGGCCTTTGCCATCTTAGTTCTTGGTATCATTCGTCGGCGCTATTTCCACCCCCTCTCTAGGTTTCCAGGCCCCTTTATCGGGTCTGTAACGAGTCTCTATCAGACATACTGGCATGTTCATCCCAACAAGACGCTTCATGATGCAGAGCTCCATAAAAAATACGGTACGACAACTAGTTCGAGTGCAAATCATGGAGATATCCACTGATATGAAACCCCAGGTCCGATTGTGAGATATAGCCCAAACGGCCTCATTGTTAACGACCCAGCCCTGCTTCCAGTCATTTATAATCGTCGCGCCAACAAGACAGATTTCTACGCTCCTGTCTTTGATACGCATTCGACGTTTACCAGGAAGGACTATAGGGAACATGTCGCGTCAAGAAAGGCAATTAGCCATGCGGTAGGTTTTCATGCTTTCTTTCGTAATATGGATGTCATGACCGGATATTGTTACGGGTTAGTCTTGATTATGATATCTTCAAACAGTACTCGGTGACAAATACTCGCTTATTTGAGCCCCAAGTTGACGGTATCCTGTCTGAGTTGATCTCCCTGTTGAGTGAATCGGCCAGCGAAAAGCGATTGGTTGATATTATGGAGTATGGGAGGTAAGCCTGAACGCGTTTTACTTCTCTTGCCTTTTGGTTTTCAATGTCAAACTTCAGATCTAACGCTAATGCACCCAATGGCTAGTTGGTTTACCTACGATGTCACTAGCCTGTTTGTATGTGGTAAACCCTTTGGGTTTGTGGAGAAGCGTACAGACGTCAAAGGTCTTATTCAGAACAAGAACAAAGTTCTTTTCATAGTCTTCATTATGACCATCCAGGAGAACCTCTCTTGGATTGTCCGCAACACGCGTTTGGGGCGGCGGTATCTCATGCCTCACCCGACAGATCAGTCGGGTCTTGGTGTTGTTATGGCGGAGAGAGATCGCATCGTGGATGCGGTTATTGACAGCGATGGCAAGGTTAAACGTCACCTCTTGGTAAAGGGGAGTCTTCTGAGCAGCCTTATGGAGATTCTCGGTACGGAAGGCTGTCCGCTCAGCTTGGTAGATGTCAAAGCGGAGATATTCTTTGCCATGTGAGTTGTTCCTGCTTTGTTAGGAACGAATATGAAAATACCAACAAGTGAAACAGGCTGGCTGGATCCTCTGTTACCCCGACCCAGCTCGCCCGAGTCATCTTCCATATATCGCGTAACTTCAAGGTCCAGGAGAAACTATACGAAGAGCTTGTTGCAGCAGAACAGGACGGTCGAATCCCACCTCTATCCGCCATTATCTCGGATGAACAGGCTCACAGACTCCCCTTTCTTTCTGCCTGTATCAGAGAGGCTCAACGATACGCTCCCACCATGTCCCAACTGCCTCGTTATGCGCCCGAGGGAACTGGGCTAGAATTACACGAGCACTACGTCCCCCCAGGAACAAGTGTATCTACCAGCCCGTGGATCATTGGCCGAAATAAAGACCTGTACGGTGAGGACGCAAACTCGTTCCGGCCAGAACGATGGTTAGAAGCATCCCCCGAGGAAGAAAGACGATGGGACCATTTTTCCTTTCATTTTGGATATGGAGCTCGGAAATGCCTTGCGAATAACTTCGGCCTGATGCAGTTGTACAAAGTTGCTGCTGAGGTGTGTGCATATCCTATTCGTTGCTTGTCGCGTTATCGGGCTCATCCTGAGTGCAGGTATTTCGACGTTTTGAAGTTAGAGTTGAAGGGTCGAACGAGGATACAGTCAGTGGAGGGCCACCTGCGAGTGCCAGGTTTCGCTTTAGTCGCAGAGAAAGATCCTGGTCATAAGCAAAATGGGTACATAAAAAAGAATCCTTTCAGGGGATGATATATTCTGAGCGCTTATGTATAACTAAGGCGATTGAGATTCATGATGTGTGACAGCTAGCCATCGATCAAGTAAAGGCTGTGAAGTATCATTATATATCAAACCTGAATGCTAGGTTCTAGATTGCCTCAAGCAAACTTAATTGCAATGCAATCTTTCTCTCAAGTGACGGACCTGCCCTGACCACCCAGCCAGGTAGGGCTGTCGATTTAACTCTAACCAAAGAGATGAATAACGAACCTTTGCTCCATGCATGGTTCTCTATATCACCATAATCCTTTTTGTTCCCTCACAAGACGGAGCGTACCATAACCTCGCACTAAGTCTGAGAAGATGCAGAGTTGAATTGAGCGCCCAAAAGCCGACCCTCCACTAACAACTCGGCGCAAAGCAGGAGGCGACAGCCATCTTCCCACACCGGCGCCAAAGTGATCTTCAGCTCACATTGTCACTCTAGGCCAATGAGAACAGATAACGACACTGCTTGTCATCGCCAACCACCGCAGCGCCAGCGTCAAAGGCCCATCCCTCCAAATGGTGGCGCCTCTTGTCTTGAATTCCATGCTACCCCACCATCTCATGGCTATCATCCAGCTATATATGAATGGGTTACGTTGTTCGTTTGTGACTACACCTCCTTGCAACATCGTATCTCCATCCGTATTGTTTGTTGAAAACCCCACCGGAGCTCTCTGACAGCAGCCAACATGAAGCTTATGCTTACTCTACTTGTATCGGGCCTCTGTGCCCTGGCTGCCCCTGCGGCTAAGGTCAGTAAATGCTCATTGCTGCTTACCATTTCCTTAGTCAAGCTAACCTGATTCAGCGTGATGGCATCGAGGATTACGCTATCGGCATTGACAAGCGTAGCTCAGTCGAGGACTATGCTATTGGTATCGACAAGCGCAACTCCGTTGAGGATTACGCTATTGGCATCGATAAGCGTGGTGGTTCAGTCGAAGACTACGCTATCGGCATCGACAAGCGCAACTCCGTTGAGGATTACGCTATTGGCATCGATAAGCGTGGTGGTTCAGTCGAAGACTACGCTATCGGCATCGACAAGCGCAACTCCGTTGAGGATTACGCTATTGGCATCGATAAGCGTGGTGGTTCAGTCGAAGACTACGCTATTGGTATTGACAAGCGCAACTCCGTTGAGGATTATGCTATTGGCATTGATATGTGTGGTTTTTCAGTTGAAGACTACGCTATCGGCATCGACAAGCGGAACTCCGTTGAGGATTATGCTATTGGAATCGATAAGAAGCGCAATTCTGTTGAAGACTACGCCATTGGTATTGACAAACGCAACTCCGTTGAGGATTATGCTATTGGCATTGATAAGCGTGG